TTTAAACTCTCCCTCTCCCTCAAGCTACCCCCTACTCTATTTTAATAATTTTCTAAAGCATTTATGAGCTTCTAGCTTTTATAATAATTTCATGTTGTTATATGTATATTTATACTTTTCTCAAAGAGCAGGCATGATTTTCTTTTTCTGTTTTCTACATTAATATATCCTACGGACCTAGAACAGTGCCTGGAAATTAGCAGGATCAAAACAGATCCTCTGGGGGAGGGGGTATGGGATAGGAAGGATAGTAGAATGAATCGGACATTATTACCCTATGTGTATATATGATTATGTGGCTGGTGTAATGCTACATCACGTACAACCAGAAGAATGAGAAGTTAGACCCCACTTCTATATACTGTGTTAAATGCATTCCACTGTCATGTATAACTAATTAGAACAAAGGAAAAAAAAAAAAGACAGATCAGCTGAATGCTAACTGAAATCTAAGAAAGAATTCTGAGGAACTCTAACAAAGGCATTGGGCAGAATTTCCAAAAGGAGTCAGTAGCGCACACATGTAATCTCAGTGACTCAGGAGGCTAAGGCATGAGGATCACAAGTTCAAGTCCAGCTTGGACAACTTAGCAAGACCCTATCTCAAAGATAAACATTTTTAAAAAGGAGCTGGGGATGTAGCTCAGGGCTTGCCTAGCATGTGGGAGACCCTAGGTTCAATTCCCATTACTGCAAGAAAAAATAAACAAAAAAGGTCAAATGGTAAATATGTTAAGCTTTGTGAGCCATAAAGTCTCTCTCATGACCATTCAATTTAACAAATGTAAGAAACCAACCATAATTACTATATAAATGAATATGAATACCTGAGTTCTAATAATACTTTACTGGCAAAACAAATATATGAAAAAAATGTTCAACATCATTAGAAATAAGGGAAATGTAGATCAAAACCACACTGAGGGACTGGGGCTGTGGCTCGGTGGTAGAGCACTGGCCTAGCATGTGTGAGGCCCTGGGTTCAAGACTAAGAACCACACATAAATAAATAAAATAAAGGTCCATTTACAACTAAAATATATGTTTAAAAAAAACACATGGATATTTTATCTCATACCAGTCAGAATGGCAGTCACCAAGAACACAAATACTAATAAATGCTAGAGAGGATATGGAGAAAAAGGAACATTCTTACACTATCGATAGGACTGTAAATTAGTATAACTATTAAGGAAATCAATATGGAGGTTCCTCAAAAGACTAGGCATGGAACTACCACATGACCCAGCTAGACCACTCACTCCTTGGTATTTATCCTGAAGAATTAAAGTCATTGTACTATAGCAATACAGGCATGCCCATGTTTATAACAGTACAATTCACAATAGCTAAATTATGGAACCAACCCAGATGCCATCAGTAGATGAATGGATTAAAAATTGTGGTATATACATACAATGGAGTCCTACTCATCCATTAAAAAGAATGAAATTATGACATTTACCAGTAAATGGATAGAAATGAACAATATCATGCTAAGTGAAAATAGTCAATCAGAAACCTGAAGGTCGAATGTTTTCTCTCACTTGTGGTAGCTAGAGTAAAATGGAGGGAAGGAGAGAACCAATCAAATATAAATAAATAAATATAAATAAAGAACCAATCAAATATAAATCAGATGAGAAAACTTCAAAGCCCTGCATGCCTAACAAATTCTTTCAGACATGGGTGCTGATGTTTCCCAGCACATTTAAAAGAAAAATGCTGCTGGGAATGGTGGCACACACCGGTAATCCCAGTAACCCAGGAGGCTGGGGCTGGAGGATCACAAATTTGAGGCCAGCCTTAGCAATTTAGTGAGACCCTAAGCAACTTAGCAAGACTCTGTTCAAAATAAAAAATAGAAATGGCTAAGGATGTGCTTCAGTGAATAAGCGCCCCTGGGTTCAATTCCTGGCACAAAACAAAACAAAAACCCTACATCCAAAAGCTGCTTTTTTATTTTATTTTTTTAAACTAGAGAAATTACCACTAAAGTCAGATGATATGGAAAGGATGCCAACTATCTCTCCTCCTACTTAACACCATATTGGACATATCAGCCAAAGCAATTAGACAAGTGGAAGTGATTTGAAGCACAAGAATAAGAAAAGAAGAAGTAAAATTAGCTTTCCTTACCGATGCTATGAGACCATGCATTCAAAACACAAGAGGGTAAATGGTAAGACTAAAACAATAAAATAATTCAATAATAGAGCAGGATATAAAAGTAACAGAAGTCAACAGCCTCATACAAAACATAAACAGAAGGGGTAATAAAAGCAAAAACTACATTTACAACAGGAACAATAAAGACGAAATACTTAGGTACTAATAAAAAAATGTGCAAAGACTACATGAGAAAATCTTTAGATTTCATAAAAAAATGTAAGGGGAGACTTGATGGAAAGATACCCTGTTTTTGGAAAGTAGGACCATCGTAAAGATGTCACTTATCCCTAAATTATAAATTTACTGTAGTTTCAATATGCAAAAGGCACTCTTATGTTTCTATATCTGGAAAAGTTGATTCTAACCTTCAAATACACTGCATTTTAAAAAAATAAAGCACACAAGAATAGTCAGAAAAAGCAAAGAAAGAAAGGCAAAGAGAGGAAAATTAACCTTGATAAACATTAAAACAAACCAATGGTACAGAAAAGACACAGAGACAAACCCACGTAAATACAGTTATCTCACACTAGACAAAGGCGCCAAAACCACACATTGGAGAAAAAGATAGCCTCATCAACAAATGGTGCTGGGAAAACTGGAAATCCATAGGCAGCAAAATGAAACTAAACCCCTCTCTCTCACCACGCACAAAACTCAAAGTGGATCAAGGACCTAGGAATTAGACCAGAAACCCTGTGCCTAATAGAGGCAGATTAGGCCCTGACTTCCTTAACAAGAAAACTAAAGTGCAAGAAATAAAATCATCAATCAATAAATGGGATGGATTCCAACTAAAAAGCTTCTTCTCAGCATAGGAAATAATCAATGAGGTGAAGAAAGAGCCTAGAGAATGGGAGTAAATTTTTGCCACACATATGTCAGATAGAGCCCTTATCTCCAGGATATATAAAGAACTCAAAAAACTTAACATCAACAAAACAAACAACCCAATCAATAAATGGGCTAAGGAGCTGAACAGACACTTCTCAGAAGAAGATATACAATAGATCAACAAGTGCATGAAAAAATGTTCAACATCTCTAGCAATTAGAGAAATGCAAATCAAAACCACTCTAAGATTTCATCTCATTCCAGTCAGAATGACAGTTATCAAGAATACAAACAACAATTAGTGTTGATGAAGATGTAGGGAAAAAGGCACACTCATACATTGCTGGTGGGACTGCAAATTAGTGCAACCAATCTGGAAAGCAGTATGGAGATTCCTTAGAAAACTTAGAATGGAACCATCATTTGACCCAGCTATCCCACTCCTTGGTCTATACTCTAAAGACTTAAAAACAGCATACTACAGTAATGCAGCCACTTCAATGTTTATAGCAGCACAATTCACAATTGTTAAACTGTGGAAGCAACCTAGATGCCTTTCATGATGAATGGATCAAGAAACTATGGTACATATACACAATGGAATATTACTCAGCATTAAAAGAGAATTAAATAGGGCTGGGGTTGTGGCTCAGTGGTAGAGCACTTGCCTCACACGCATGAGGCACTGGATTCAATCCTCAGCACCACATAAAAATAAATAAATAAAATAAAGATATGTGTCCATCTACAACTAAAAAGTATTTTTAAAAGAAGGGAATAAAATTATGGCAGTTGCAGGTAAATGGATGGAGTTGGAGAATATCATGCTAAATGAAATAAGCCAATCTCAAAAAACCAGGGGCCAAATGTTTTCTCCGATAAGTGGATGCTGGTCCATATGGGGGAGGGGGGCATGGGATAAGAGGAAGAACTTTGGATGGGGCAAAGGTAGGGGGAGGGGGCAAAGAGGTAGGAAAGATGTGGAATGAGACAGACATCATTACCCTAGGTACATGTATGATTGCACAAAGGGTGTGAATCTACTTCATGCCAAGTCAGAGAAGTGAAAAATGCTGTCCCATTTGTGTACAATGAATCAAAGAGCTTTATACTGTCATGTATGACTGATTAGAACTAATAAATTCATTTTTAAAAACATTAAAACATATTTTAAAGGCTCTATAATTAAAACTGTGTAGTGCTGAAACATAAATAGACAAGTCTAGTAGGAAAGAATAGGAAGTCCAGAAATAGACCTAAGTGTGCATGGAAATCCAGCATAAGACTATATACTCAGGATAAATTCCCAGAAGTGAGGTTGGGGGCACAAAGGGTAAAAGTAGCTATTTTTAGATGGTATCAAATTCCCCTCCATTGGGACTGTTCTCTCTTGCATTCCCACCAGCAAATGAGAATGTCTGACCCACGGTATATGTTGTCAGGCTTTTGATTTTTTTTTCCCCCTATTTAATAGCTACACTGGTATCTTAGTGAAGTTTTAATTTGCTTTCTCTTATTATGAGTGAAGCTTAATAACTTTTAAGTCTTTTATATATTTTTATGTGTTTCTTTTATTAAGATACAGTTTGTACATAATAAAATGTACAGATCTTAAATGTTTGGTTTAATGAATTTTGACAAATACCTCTGTGTAACCACCCTGGAGACAAGATCTAGAACATTTCCACCATTCCAGGAAATCCCAGTATGCTCCTTTCCAGCTCCAGCTGCTCCACAAGCAGACACTTTCTGAGCTCTAATATCACAGGTTAGTTTGACTTGTCCTTGGACTTTGTATAAAGGAACTGTTTGGAGACGTGTAGCTGATTATTTCGTGCGTCCAATTCTTTGGCTCAACGTAATTTTTAGGGCTCACCTATGTCGTGTGTTGAGCATTAGCTCCTTCATTTTTTATTACCAAGGAGAATTCCATTCTGTGCACATAATACAATGCTTGCAAAAATTAATTCTTTCCTTTTTTTCTTTTCCCACAGAGACCACTCAGGCAGCACCCTCCTCTTCTTGCTCCCGCAAAAGGAAGGAAAGAACAATCATCAGTGACAAATGGCAGCTGCAGCAAAGCAACACCAAGAGCAGGCTTCATCCTGGAGAGCGAACACTGCACCCCCTCCTCAGGCTCACTGTGCTCTTTGCATTCTGAGAAACTACTCTGATAAGGAATGATCCCTGAAGATACAGTCTTCAAAACTGATTTTTATCTTCTTTTATTTTCTTACTGTTGAAGTACCGAACTGCAAATATGGAAAGGGAGAAAAATAGAAAGAATCCTGAGGTTTTGGATTAGAATGGTAGCAATCAATACAAATTCATAGTTTCTAACATAGAGTAGCTGTAGATATATCTCTGTGTGTGTATGTACATATATACATCTATTCCCTAATCCTGTCTTCTGATATAGCTTGGGAGCAGCATCATTCCAACAGTAATGAGCACACCCACCACCTATACCTTGGTGTCTTACTCTGTTTCTGTTGCTATGACAAAAATATTTGAGAGCCAGTAATTTATAAAGAAAAGAGGTTTATTTAGCTCCTGGTTCTGGAGCTGAGAAGTGCAAGAGCATGGTGCTGGTGAGGGCTGTCTGGCTGAATCACAAATGGCAGAGGGTGTCCCATAGTGAGTCAGCACGAGTCTGCTAGCTCAGGTTTCTCTTCCTCTGCTTATAAAGCCATTAATGCCTTCAGGGGGGCTCCACTCCCTGGCCTCATCTAATCCTGAGTACCTCCCAAAAACCTTACCTCCAAATAACATCAGCATGTGGCTTTAGGGATTAGGTTTCCAACACGTGAGATTTTAAAGACACAGAGCACTTGGTATCCAGATACCATTCTCTACGAAAAAGAATCAAGGCTCCCTGAACAAATGAGTAATTCCAGGGTTTGGGATGATGATGGTACCAGGATAAGTCTGGAACATCTTCAGACAGTAAGGACACCTGCAAGAACCAACATGGCTATCTCAAAAGGACAGGGGTGCCAATCTGCAAGGGCCCTTGGCCACATTTTGGTCAATATGAACACCAAAATGAATAGACAGGAATATATTACAGTGTGTTGGGTTATTGTTGCTAATTGTTACTAAAATTGCAAATGTTAGGGAAAGCTTTTTTAAAATAGACTACCAATGAATAAATGCAGAATAAATGATAGAAAATCACCATTTTACAACCACCACAGTAATAACTGATTCAAGCAAAAATCACCATTGGGCAGAAGGTTTGAGACAACAGAATTTTCACAGGATCTCATGCAGATTTCTTATTAATTATACAAGAAAAACGTACTGCGTTATTGGTGGGCTTGGCAAGCACAGTCCTAACCAAGTGATCAAAGCTAACATCTCCAAATGATCATGCACACTGATATCATGTACCCCCGGGGGAAGCACTGAGGAGTACGGAGCATTCCAGCCAAAGATGTTGGTGCTAATCACAAGGAAAGAATCACTGAGTTCCAAATAAAGGCACATTTGGCAAAACAACTGGAACTTAGGCTCCAAAAATATCAGTGGTATGGAAGACCAAGAGAGAAGAAATAAAGAAATAAGACAACTAAATGCAACCTATCAATAAAAGAGCAGGAGGAAAAAACACATACACCATCAAAGACCTACTGACGTGGGAAAATCTGAGTAGGGGCTATATGTTAGAGAATGATATTACATTATTGTTGAAAACGTTGGCTTTGTTAATTATGTTGTGGGTGTGTGGGAAAATGTCCTTGTTCTTCAAAAATATATGCTGGAGGCAAGGCATAGAAGTATATGCTTGTAACCTAAGAGACTGGGGAGGCTGAGGCAGGAGAATCACAAGTTCAAGGTCAGCCTGGGTGACTCAGCAAGACCCTACCTCAAAAATAAAATAAAAATGGCTGGGGATGTAGCTCAGTGGTCAAGCACTTGCCTAGTATGCATGAAGCCCTGGGTTTAGGGCCCAATCGCAGAGAAAGAAAAAAGGACAGTAAGGACACCTGCAAGAACCAACATGGCTATCTCAAAATACATGCTGGAATATTAAGGGGTGCATTATCATCAGTCCTACAATTAACTCTTAACTGGTTTAGAAAGTAAAATTACTGGGTGCTCCTCAGCCTGACCTCAGAGATGTAAGTGCGTCATTTAATTTTGAAATACTTGATGTGGGGGTGGGTTCCATAATCTTAAGGTGATTGACTTCAAATGTAATAAATCATGCAGGAAACACTGCATGACTTCAAATTTAAAAAAAGTAATGGAAATGTTTTTTATATTGTTTGGTGATGCATAGCTGATTTTATATTGATTGTATTGTTTGTATACATATAAAAATGGATCAAACAGCATATTTCAAATATGTGCATTTTTCTGTATTTTAATTTTACCTCAATAAAGCTATGGGGGAAAGTTTTTTTTTAAAAAAAAGTAAATATGTGTTTTGTGTATTTCTTCATATATATGTATACATATATATGCATAAAGTATATATATATATAAAAGTAAATATATACGTTTTGTGTGATTCTTCATATATATATATATATATATATATATATATATATATATTCCTATCGTATATATAAATATTTATACACTCATACACATTTGGAAGAGAGAAAGAAAGTAAATATGGTAAAATGCTGACTGTTGACTCTGAAGGGTAGTGAGTATTGCTGGTACAATTTTATTTTCAATTTTCTATAGGCTTGAAGTTTTTCCAAAATAAACATAGAGGGAAAAGCATTATTATAACACTAAATGGATACTACAGAATTCATAAAATGTTTTTCATTTAAAACAAGAAACTTCTAAAAGAAGTTTAGATGGAGCGGGATGTGGTAGTGTACACCTGTAATTCCAGTGAATCCCAGCAACTCAGGAGGCCGAGGCAGGAGGATCAAAAGTTTGAGGCCAGCCTCAATGACTTTGCAAAAAATAAAAAGGGCTGGGGATGTAGCTCAGAGGTAGTAGGCTCCTGATAGAACCCCCAATACTGATAAAAAAGAAGAGGAAGAGGGTAAAGGAGATGTTTAGACTGACTATGGCTACTTTGAGTTATGATCCTCGAGTCACAGGAAATAAAAACTTATTATCTTCAAAGCTATTTCAAGATGAAAGGTGCTTTAACGAGGAGGCATGAGAAGCTCTGTTCTTGGACAAAGGATGCATGCCTTCAAGGCTGGCCAGCTGCCCAGGTTGGTTAGAGCAGGTCAGGGGCAGGGCTGGAGCAGACCCACTTCTCTGGCAGTAGCAACCATACCTCAAGGAACTACCTCCTCTCACTAGATGGGTGTTTGCTGTAGATGCCAATCATGAGACTCTGCCTCCTGGCCAAAGGATGGACAAGTAACACACGACGGGCCAACAATGTCCCCTACTCCCTGGTCACAGGGCTCAGCCCCCAGAAGGGCAGGAGGCCCAGGCTGGACCAATCAGGTTCCTACCCTCCTGTTTTATTTATGGCTGCCAGGAGGTATTTGACTTATTTATGGATGCTCTTACTTTCCCCTGGGATCCTCCGGGCAGAATGATGCAAACCTGGAGCTGTCTGTAACCAGCAACCAAGAATCCAAATTATTACAGTGAGCAGCTGTGCTGTTCTGCCTGGCGACTGCCGGCAAAAAGAGAAGCAGTCCGCTTTGCTTCACAGGTCCTCGGTGTCAGCTCCTTTAAGAGATCTCTGGCTCCTGGTCCCCTGGTTCTAAGTGACAGCACCATCTTATGTCACAGACTGAACTTCACTTCGTAGGCCATGGTGTAGATGCGTGTGTGCATGAAGCCCTCTGCCAAATGTCTGCTCAAGGCCCTGCCTTCTCTTCCGTCATTCATTCTTTCCATAAACATGGAAGGTCAACTCTAAGACATCGAGCCAAGTGCTATAGCAGAGTGCTTTCCGACGTCACACTGGCTGCCTAAAATGTCCCCAAAGTCAAAAAATGCCGCTCTCTGGGCCCAGTCCCCAGAGATTTTTGCAAGAGATTCAGTGTGCTTAACAAGTCACCCAGGAAATATGTCTGCCTCTTGTGGTTTAGGAAACAGCGCAGGGGCAGGCAGAGGTATCAAGGTAAATGTGGCTCCAATTGGTTTCACAGGGTGCGTTGAGATTAGTGGGGAGGAGAAGGCCATTCCACTAATCTTACAAGGTCTTTACCCAGCTCTCTTGTAAAAGCCCATGTGTTCGCCCAACCTTTCAGAACTGTGTTCTCAGCCAGCAAGAGAACATTTGATGGAGCCGAAAAAAGCTCTACGTGACCTTTTTGTCAAATCAGAGTGTGCCATTTATAGTAACCTTGTGGATAAAAAGCATAGTGTATTGTAGTAATTGTGACTATCGTTCACTGGCTACCTGCTACATGCCAGGGGACGTAATAACTGCTTGAGGTACATTCTTATTTAACCCTCTAAGAACCCTGGGAAAGTAGGACTGTTATCCTTATTCCACAGATGGGGAACCAAACTTAGGGGGGTTAGTACAATCTTTGGGTTTCATCCCATCCCCAGTTCTGAGGTTCAAACCCAGGGCCACAGGCAAATGTTCTCCTTGGGATTTTCTTTTTTTAACGTGTTTTTGCAAGTGATTATTAATATGCATCAATTAAGTTGCAAGATTTCCCCTCGTATGCCATTTATTTGACAAATATTGCACATCTAGTATGTGCATAGTCCCTGCCAGATGTTATAGAAAGGATTTTAAAATATCACAAATAACTCTTCTTTGTAAGGTGCAACTAATTTGGTTTGGAAGGATGACCTAAGGAGAGTTTTGACATTCATTTGCAGTAGTTATCAAACTGCAATTGGGCTTAGACTTGTGCAAGTCTCTGCTCTTCCTGAGCCCCTCGGAGTGAGACTCCATAGATTCCATTTTACTAGTCTTTGCATTCCTAGCACATAGTAAGTGCTTACTCAGGGCTGGCTAAATCACTGAACCAGTAAGTTAGAAGATAACAGGCATGAACAACATCCAAGTCCTTTCCTTATTCAGATGCCAAGGATTTAGTGCCATTTGCAAATGAATCTATACCCAGCAAAGAAAATAGCTATTAGCTATCACATGCATCTGAAATACCCCCCAAAGACCCCTATCAGAGGCCTCGTAACCCACCTGTGGTGCTATTAGACATGGTAGAACCTTTAGGAAGTGGAACCTAGTGAAAGGAAGTTGGATCATTTGGGGACATGTCCTGAAGGGGATCTGGGGACCCTGGCCCCTGTTCTCTCTTTTCACTTCTGTCCACCATGCAGTGAATACCTTCCTCCGTTACACACTCCTGCCCTGGTGTGCTGCCTTGCCACAGGCTCAAAGGCCACAGGTCCAAGTGACCATGGACTGAAACCTCTGAAGCTATGAGCCGAAATAAATCTTTCCTCCTACTAAATTGATTTGCTCAGATATTTTGTCACAGTAACTCAAAGCTGATTAACCAACTATTTTGCAGCTAAGAAAACTTTTCAAAATAAAGAGTATATTCCATAGATAAATATCCTGGGGTATTTCCCACCTGGCATTTATGACTGTCTCAGGAGACATTAATAAGTATTTCTTTAAAAAGAAAATTTTATAATTTTCCCATTCATCTATTGAAGGGCATCTAGGTTTAGCTATTGTGAATTGTGTTGCTGTAAACATTGATGTGGCTGTGTCCCTGTGTCCCTGTAATATGCTGTTTTTAAGACCTTGGGGTATAGACCAAGTAGAGGAATAGCTGGGTCAAATGGTGGTTCCATTCCCAATTTTCCAAGAAATCTCCATACTGCTTTCCATATTGTCTGTGCCAATTTGCAGCCCCATCAGCAATGTATGCGTGTGCCTTTTCCCCCACATCCTCACCAACACTTATTTTGTATGCATAATAGCTGCCATTCTGAGTGGAGTGAGATGAAATCTTAGAGTGGTTTTGATTTGAATTTCTCTAATTGCTAGTGATGATGAACATTTTTCATGTATTTGTTGATTGTACATCATCTTCTGAGAAGTGTCTCTTCAGGTCCTTGACCAATTTATTGACTGGGTTATTTGTTTTTTTTGGTGTTTAGCTTTTTGAGTTCTTTATATACCTTAGAGATTAGTGCTCAGGGACACAGCCACATCAATGTTTATAGCAGCACAATTCACAATAGCTAAACTGTGGAACCAACCTAGATGCCCTTCAGTAGAGGAATGAATTAAAAAAAATGTGGCATATATATACACAATGGAATATTACTCAGCAATAAAAGAGAATAAAATCATGGCATTTGCAGGGAAATGGATGGAGTTAGAGAAGATAATGCTAAGTGAAGTTAGCCAATCCCCCCCCAAAAAATGCTGAATGTTTTCTTTGATATTAGGAGGCTGATTAATAGTGGAATAGGGAGCGGGAGTATGGGAGGAATAGATAAACTCTAGGTAGGGCAGAGGGGTTGGAGGGGAAGGGAGGGGGCATGGGGTTATTAATGATGGTGGAATATGATGAACATTATTATCCAAAATACTTGTAAGAAAACACGAATTGGTGTGAATATACTGTGTATACAACCAGAGATATGAAAAATTGTGCTCTATGTGTGTAATAAGAATTGCAATGCATTCCACTGTCACATATAAATAAATAAAACTTTAAAAAAAAGAATTTGACAATCTAATCCATGTGGGATATGCAGGATTAAATAGAGTCTTAGAATTTCTTTACTTCAGGAATTCTCAGAGTCTTTACTGGACTGCATGTGCACAGTGCATGAACCAGAAGATGCAGGTGGGGCATTTAGTAATCTACCATAGATGGTAAACATCATTTTCCAAATTTATTTGACTCTTTAGGGCAGGATTGGAGGGAACAGAGGCCAGAGCCAGAACTAGAATAAGGCAAATGAGACCTACAGGGCCCCCTATTTAAGAAAATATCCACTTGCAAAACATTTGTAAACTCTTGAGACCAAGTCACATTTGTACCCTAACAGCTGAGCATGTTAGCCACTGGAGAAGATGAGATAGGTCGATTGCCAGACTCAGCAATTTAGTGAGACCTGCAGCAACTTAACAAGGACATGTCTCAAAACAACAACAACAAAAAAAATAAAACGAGGACCTGCAAAGTAGCTTGGTGGTAAAGTGACCAGGGATTCAAAACTCACTACCAAAAAAAAAAGTACCCCAATAGCCAGGTATGATGGTACACACCTGTAATCCAAGCTTCTTCGGAGGCTGGCAGGAGGATGGCAAATCTGAAGCCAGCACAGGAAACTTAGTGAGACCCTGTCTCCAATCAATCAATCAATCAATCAGGCTGGGGGTATAGCACAGTGATAAAAGCCCCCTGGGTTCAATCTCCGGTACCACACATACAAAAAAATTGTACCTTAAGTATGTCACTTGCCTGCTCCCAGGCTCTGACCAGAAAGAATACCTCATACCATTAAGGAAACTAATGTTCCAAATACATTATTTGGG